AGGAATGTGCCTCCAGTGCAATTTAAATTGAAGCTTTGAATCTTCTATCAAGGTAATGAAAGCATTCGTCTGAGTAGATCGCGAATAGGACCCGCCTTTCCACTGTATAATAACCGAAACGTAGCCAGTGTTAAAAAGTTTGTATGAATAATCTCACTGTTCAAGAAGAAGACTTCAGCTTTTCCGCAGTCAGCCCTCTGGCGACTGTAGCTACGAATCTGTTATTCACGTTATGGTAATCATTGCCCTTTACAACAAGTTTGTTGGGCCTTTTTCCCATTTTCTGAACCGAAGACTAGAACGACGATTTCAAGAAATTAGTGTACCGCGTCTTCAATGACTAGTGATCACTAAATAAAACTGGATTCAATACTGACGAGATGACTAGTCAGGCTATGATTATCTGGTCGTCAAAAAGTTAACTGAAAGTGGGTTTGGAAATTTTCATTACTGCGCAATATTTCTGAACATGGCCAGCCTATAACATAATCCTTTACTTCAAATTTGCAATATTTCTTTATATTGTCTTTACTTTTGTGAAGGAATTCACAGAATGGTACGGTTCTTATTTCTGATCTACAACATTTTTACTCACGTTATGCTATGACGGAAATTTAATGTTGTCATTTAAGACACTAAATTAGAAAGCGTATAGCTAATAAATTATGCACGCTTTGTATTTTTCTGGAAATCTTTGTTCATAAGCACAGAAATTTATGGGTGGGCAAATTCATGTCACTTCGTTTTTCAGCGCTTCTTTATAGTGACCAATTATAAAAGTGAAGGAACAGCTGGTGCGTCAGATGAAAAATGAGCAATCATCATCCTTTCATCCTCAGTCCTTAACGTCACTTGCTCTAGTACACAATTTTTGTTTTTGTCATTCGCTAAAAGTTGGACGTGTGTATTCTGCAGTCACTTCGGTAATCTCCGCTCAAGCGATATTTTTTTTTCAGGCGTGCATAGCGAACAGTTTTTTTCCACAAGTTATCTCTTCTTCCCACTCAAATTAAACCCATCAACCCTCAAACCTGTTGGACTTTGATTTTTCGAACGATTTCGCTGAAATTTCTCAATTTTCATCATTAACCCTTGGGTTTGTCCCCTTATCATGAGTGGTATGTTGGTGGGTGTCGAATTCACATGTACAATCGGAGATTTATTGCCATAGTAGGATTTCTCCATATGCGTATTTGATAATCTTCATTCGAAGTTTAACTAAGTGTAGATCAGTGCCGAAAATCACGGCCATATTCAACGGCATTGTCAATAATTGATAACTAATGACAACTTGGAAAGCCCCTAGCATGGATTTTAAGTCTCAACGGCAAGAATATGTTGCCTTCGCAAGTATACCATTTATTTATGCACTTGTTACGCCCGAACAAGGCCAAAACTAATAGTCAAAATACTCCCCTTCAAGCACTTCCTGTCATTTCTGCGACAAATGATCGATTCCGCTAGCATAGAATTCAAAGTCTTCAGTCAGCATCCGAGCTGTCAAAGAGGGATTTTCTTCTATCGCTTTAAGCACAGGTTGACGATTTTGGACGATTTGAACGCTGCTGATCTTCCAAAATTTCTTCACCTTCGTCAAACTTTTTGAGCCGCCTGTGCACCGTACTTTTGCCAACTGTGTCTTCGCTCTAAGGCAGATTGACGCGTTCACTTGCCACCGTTGCATTCCAACTCAACAGCCATTCGTGCATCATCAACAACCTAATTTGCTCAATTGTTGACTTGCTTTTGAAATAAGTAGATAAATTATATACTAATCAACGCGGGAGAAGACGGGCTTTCAAATGAGCCCGAAAACACAAAAAATGGCCGACACTCAGAAAAGTTACAGGTATTTTTTCAGAACTTTTTCCCCAACGTATATTAGTGGTGTGCAAATATTGTTGGGAACCGTTTTGTAGTGTTCGTGACGGGCCATTGAAATAGTACTAAATCAAGTTAATAAGCGAGCAATTAGGCCATCATTTTCTTACATCATAGGAATTTTAGTTGCAGTTTTTGCTATCACAAATTCCTGAAATGAAAAACGATTCAAAATGGCCTCACAATGTCACTTTACCTGCTCCCCCTTTTTAGCCTTCGAAGTGAGGCTAGTCATTGATTTTCGTTCATGATATTCCAATTCCTGGCATAGATTTGAAGCAAGAGGGCTGTCGGACCACATCTACTCTTCACGTTATGCAAATGAAATACGAATAATTTGTAACCTTCACTTCTCATATTCCTACATATCATAGCCCTTTTGCACTTTATTTGATCCGTCAACACAGCGTTTTTTTCAATGTGGGGATGTCAGTACTTCTAGCATTCAAGTCGTTTTTCGTATTCCTTTTGAACGGCGTAGAACACTGGTTGAGCGAGTCTTCTTGCAATCTCGAATAGCCTTGCTGTAGGGTTCCCTAGGATGTTGTTGTTGACTGCCGGAGAGAACTGGGGGAGGGGGGGGAGGTGGAGCTCGGCTCCATGCGCGCTGTTACCAACATACATATCATATCATAGTGTTTTGTGCCCATATTCGTTAGTTCCATCTCTTGATGTTCCTCTTCATGAAAAATCTATGTTCGAAGGAGGAGGACATAATTTCTCCTGTGTGTCGTATCAAATGGTGTTCAAACGTGACATAAGAACTTTCTGAGTAATTATTCCTTTTATTATTTAACTAGTACCGCAAGGTTGATAGTAAACTTTATTTGGCTAATATTTCGGACGCTTTCAAACATCCTCATACTCATTGCTGGAGCAGGTATGATACTGTTAACATAGAAGATTGAATTTATAACTAGTAATCAAGCCGTCGCTCTAGCATAATAGAAATAGCATTTGAATATACGGAATAGAATGACAACACCAGATAGCAAGAAAATTTGATTGAAGAGAATATGAAGACGATGTGAGGAATTAGAATGTGGAGGACGTCAAGAGATGAAACGGCATAAATAGAGGTTATAAGAGATATAAGGACGGAGAGCTCGAAAAGAAGAACGAGAACCGTTGGACTAAAAATGCATTCCATAAAGTATAAATCAATTAGCGTCTTTTAGTGTCGCAATCTGCAGATAAATGTGCTGAGTTCTTTAGAGGACATCTGTGATTTTATGACTTTTTGACACGAATTTCATGAATAGTTGAAGTGCCTACTTTCTCAAGTAATCGTACGCGTTCCGTACATTCACAACAGAGTGAGTTTTATTTGAGAGTCTACAATTTCTCAATAACTCAATCACTAGATTAGTTGACAGCCTGGCAGTCTTATACTGCATAATGCTTTTCCCAACGGATTTGGAAGTATTAATGGTTTTTCTAAAGTACTTCTGAATTTTTGATTGTTCAAGATTCGAAGGAAAAAATATTTGGAATTTTGGAAACTCGCACAAAATTCCATGAAGGTAACCATATTTGCTATCCATTGATGTACATTGTAGCATAGTTTGGAGGGAAATTCGCCTTTCAAATGCTTTGAAGCTCAAATTACATGTTTTGACAATAAAGAAACGAGTATCATAGCTTAAGAAGGCCAGTATATCTCTCGATGTAGTAAGTGAACTTCTATCCTATAGGCAAATATCTGCTGTAACGGTTTTTATTCCAATATAAAGTCCACTATGAGCATGCATACATCTCGGTAAAATTGATAACCCAAATCATTTTTGAGAAAGTATGCCTGAATAAATTGCCTTCCACAATATTTTGATGAGTATTTCTAGCTACAAACACTTTCTCATCATCCGTAGTTGTTTCGAGAAAGCTTTTACCAAAGTTTTTTACTAGGCCGTCACCAGAGACAAATGCCATTTTTATGGATCGTGCGAAGGTTCGCCAGCTCAAAAAAAGGTGACCTACGGCGACGGTCTCTGGAATTTATTGGGGGTAGGGATGGGGACATCCTCGGCATGGATGAAACGCGGGTTCGATTCCCGTCAGAAGTCGTTTCTTTGCTCGCCACTTAATTCTTTTAGGTGTATCGGAAACATCGCACCACTGCGAAAAATGCAGTAAAAACATTAGAAATTATGAGTACTATAGTTTGAATCGTAAAAACACGTTTAACCGCGATGAGGCAGCAAATCGTAAATCAAAGAGAAGTTGATCATAACAACTCCAGCAAAAGTAATGTCCAAACGATTATTGCTCATTTACGTGCATCTAGGTGACCTGTAATTTCTTTGAAATGTTTTGTAGATCTATTCTCATAGCAACGAAGACCTGCTATGTCCTCATTTATAACTAAATTTGTAGGCTTTCGCCATACCATCGTTTTTGTCTTCCTTCATTAACTATAAGTACAAAACAAGAGAAATAGTAAAGCAAGTAGAAATAAGGCATGAGAGGCAATGAATGAGACAAAAAACAAAGCTTAGAAAGTTGACCATATCGAAAAGCTTTCGAGATACCTTGAGGTGGTATTTTTTTCCCTGCAATGGAAATTCACTGTTTGCCTTCGGTCGCTTGTCGCCAAGCGCTATACAACAATGGAAGCGAATGTTTGCTTATTCCTATAAGGCGTTAGTGTTCAAATAGAGCGAATCCCAATTGAAAAAAACACCTTCATTCAAGACCGCGATCTTTCAATGAGCGGTGCTGTCCAATACAAGAAGGGAAATATGTTGGCAATTTGGCTAACCAATATTTAAAATTTCTAGTGTTTTTACTGCATTTTTTGCAGTGGTATGATGTTTCATACATACCCAAGAGAATTAAGGAACAAAAATACGATCTCAGACGGGAATTGAACCTGCGTTCCATCCATACCGGGGGACGCGTGCTACCAATACACAACAGACATCATAAACCAAAATCATTAGAACCAGTAAAAAAGTAAACAAACTAGTAAGAACACTAGAAAATTTCGAGTTTTATCTAACACAATGGCTGTCAGCTCAGTTGGGTTTGTAGAGCGAGATTGCATACGCGAAGCCTGTTAAAGCTTCGTGGCTGACAGCTAACATAGGGATTTCTGCAGAATGAGTGGTGGGCGCGAATGTATCTTTATGGTGCAGTGGTAGCATGTGTCCCCGTTATGGATGAACGCGCGTTCGACTCCCGTTTGAGGTCGTATTTTTGCTCACCACTCAATTCTCTTAGGCATGTATATAACCAGTATTTGTTAAAATTCTCCATCTTCCTTTACATCCATGAAATTTCGGACATCCTTTGACTGAAGTTCTTACAAACATCTGAATTCGTGAACGTGTAAGTGTGAGATGAGCCACCTTCAATCGAGTAGTTCCCTTTCTCTCACGGCGACGTTATGGGGTATACCTGTCATTCGCACTACGATGTACACCCGAAAGTTGAACCTCTTCAAGGTCACATAAGCTCAAGGCTTATGTTTATAGTGGAAGTTATAGGAGTAGACCAAGTGACGGGAATCCCAATGCGACAAGCTCCCTGCGCTCCACAAGAGCAACTGCTAGGGACAATGCCCTCCGAACCCTCTGACAGGTTGTTTTCGGTGTTCGATGCAGAAGAAAACCACTCCAACCAGCGAGATACCTCCAGCCCTTGATTGCTTCGAAATCCATGGTAGTTATCCAATAATATCGGATTTAATGAAGAATTGCATGTAATGGAGAACCAGTATGTAGTGAAGGAAGCTTTCGATTTTATTTTGCAATTTTACTATCCAATATTTGTTGAGAGTTTCCCATCTTCCTTTACATCTATTATAATCAAGGCATCCTTCAACTAAAGGTCTTGCAAATACTCGAATTTCTCGAGCGTACGGTAGAACCTTAGAATTATTCAAATTTCTTTTTTTTTCTATCTTTTTTATGAGTTTTCAAACTCTTAAATTAGATTGATTCTGGAGTTTTTTTTACTTATGTCATGAAGTTTTTAGAAAACAATAAAAAAGTTGCTAACGTAGATCAATTCGTTTCAACTTAGTAATTATCTGCACAAACATCGCGACATTGCATTGTACCCAACACTATGGGAAATTCAATTCGATTGCATCCTAGAAGCAGTTTCGCCATCTTCATGTGCCAATGCCGGCCAGAATTTCTCTTCACTTCCAATCTCAAGCTGTTCTTAATGAGTCCATTCGAAAAGTCACACAGCTTAAGAATGTCACTGATGTGGGTGCTATTACACCCAGCTGCTTTGTAAGGGTCAAAGACAGCGGTGTCCACAGACAGGGCCTGGACAACTTAGTCAGGCAGTGTCGACAGGCCTGGCTCACCACACGGCTGCGAATCGATGTTGTCCGCCCGGATGGACGAAGGCTCTGCTGCACTTAGCGCCCTCTAAAATTACATTTCCTCTTCTTCATTGTACATGATACAGCCTTGAAAGACTCTTCATTCGTAAAATATTGATTTTTATACGGTAAATATGACTTTTCTCCATTAATTTCCCCCACCATCATAATTTCTGTTTTGATTGTTCTTCGACAGGCTTTTCCTCCATTTTCAAAAGCTGTAATGGCGATCCGTCAAAACTGACCCTCTTCAGGATTCTTGGATTTTTTTCCATAATATTCTTGGTTCAATCGCAAACTGATTTTATCCTATTTCTTGCTTTGCTAGATTTTCTGCAGTCTTACTCATTCTACAGTTTTCCTCGAGTTTCCCCTCTCCCCCTCCCCTGTACTTTTATTGACAATTTCGACTGTTCACAAGGTTACTCGTATGCGAGAGTCCCAAGCACATCAGATATTCTGTTTGCTGGTTTTCATCGTGCAGAACGCGCTGGATTCTTTGTCGCGAATGTTCATATTCACTTTCTCCATACGAAGAGCACATAAACAATTATGCGTATGGCCTTGACATCCACATTCGCCGTTATGGCAGTTTTTTAACGGCTCTGTTAACACACTCTGACGAGAGATTCCTCTACCCCGTTCTCCTCATCGTCGTCCTCGTTCATCGCCATCCTCGCTCGTCTTCATTGTCGTCGTGTTTTCACTCAGATCATCTCTTTCAGTCGTCGATTCACGACTTATTGATCGCTCATCCAGACCCACACGTCCAGCTTCTTCCCTCTACTGTTATCTCCTCCTGACTAATATCTCCAGACACGGGCATCACTACTGCTTTATTGGTTTTTTGGTCACTTCTCTTGCTTCATCGATCCGTTTCACCTCTTACCATACGTTTTTCGGGAGCAGTTCTGCATCAGTGACCACTGTAGTAACATTCTCTTCGGCTTTCTCTGCTTTGTATCGACCCAGTGACTACTTTGCAATCGAATTAACCAGCATTTTTGAGCAAAATATGCTCTTATTCGCTTACTTTGTGGTGTTTAGGTTCGCTTTTTACATGTGAAAGATTTTATCTACTCTGATTATTCAATTAGGTTTATGGACTACTGCGTAAAGGGCACGGAGAGCACGAAACCACCGACTGGCGGCGACAAGAGCTGTCAAGCGTGCATTCATTCGTGTCGTCTATTTTGATTCAATAATGCCCTTTTTCCAGTAATTTCCATCGATTCATCATCTATTTCATGAGCAATTTGCTTCCACTTAGTGGTTGTTAGTCCTCCACTCACTATTCGATAGAAACGGAAGTGTGTTGGGTTGGCAAGAAATTCTACAAACTTTTTGCCTTTCTTGATTATTTTTCATGAATTTGAGTTTGTGTTCTGACCATCGTCTGAAGCAATTCTTCATTTTGATTCATAACACTTAAACAATTGTTCTAAGATAAAATTGTCCCGAGAGCAAAAACGATCGTTTGCGCTACACGAGCGTTTGGGTTCAAGTGCTGCTTGACACACAACGATACTTGTGTAGCATCAACTCCGTCGTACTTGCTTGCGGAACAGTTCCATTTTAAAACAAATATACAAGTGTTATATTCGAAATTTCTAGTATATTTACTTCATTTTTCGCAGTGTCATGATGTTTCCTATATACCTGAGAGAATCGACTGGTGAACAAAAACATGGCGTTAGGCGGGAATCGGAACCCGCGTATCATCTATTCCGGAGACACGTGCTATTACCATTGCACCACAGAGGCACATTTGCGCCACCACTCTACAATATTTCTATGTTAGCTATCAGCCACCAACCTCTAACAGGTTGGTCGGATATGCGATTTCGCTTTATAAACCCAGTTGAGCTGACAGCCAATTGTAATAACTAATACTCGAAATTTCTAGTATTTTTAATGGTAGGTGTAGTGATAGTAGCACGGGTCTCAGGTATGGAGTGCGGGTTCGACTCCCGCTTAAGCCGTGTTTTTGCCCAACACTCGGTTCTCTTAAGTTTTATATTAGAATAGTTTGCAAGAACATTTCCCAAGCGATTGTAAGAACAAAAACTCAAATGCCTGAGAAATAATCACCAGGAAACCAAAAGTATGGAAAAATGCTTGCTAACCCAATATTTGCCCTAGAGGCGTTATTTCCTCGTTTTTTTATTTCTATATATACTTTTTACAATAGTGGTTTTATATGACTTTGAATCTCAAGAAACTAAGTTTCGTCGTATTTTTTTTCGTCATTTTTACTTATCTACGATAAATTTATTCTTGGTCCATTATATCGTGTTTGATGTTAATTGAAGATTCATGATCTCGAGGTTCTATGTATGTGAGCTCTTTTATTTTTTGTAGCTCTATAAAATTTTTTACTCTGAAATGAAGGCAGGTGCTCTATTACATCATGGACTTTGGCAAGGCGTTTTTCCTGCCATGGAGACCTGAAAGAATGTAATCACTTTGGAGCAGCATCTGAGCTATACAATGAATGAATTAAACGTTCCTACCTTAATTCTTCAATCTTTTGCTATGTCAGGGCGCGCAATAGTCTGGACGAGAGTTGTATTGACGCCGCTTCAATAAAGCTATCGCTGCTGATTTTGACGTGTTGGTGTCGCCTTCATGAAACTTTTTGAAACATTTTTTGCGTAGTTCGTAGATCAACCGCCTTGTGGTTAAGTGCTATGCGTTGTTTTGTGTCGCTTCGGACTCAGAATGACCCAAGCGAAATGGTATAGAGATGCTCACGACCTAAGTTTTGAAGTGTTCATTCTAAAGTAAAATAAAAGAAAGTCTCTTACAGTTGCAAAAATGAGATGGTTCACATATTTTGAATCTGGAAATCATAAGTTTTCGAATGACATAAAATACGATGAAAACTTTAGGAAGGAAATTCATTGTAGATAAATAAAAGTAACAGAAAAAAAGCGGCAGAACTTGCTTTCCAACCTAAGAAGTTAGTATAAGAGTCCTCTATGTATTTATTCGACGACATTTGTAGATCATTCGTGACCCGTGATTTCCCGAAAAGTTCTTTATTGTTCCACCTTCAAACAAGCCCATAGATTCTTCTGCTTACGGTAAATTGTATTTGTTGAACTGAAATCGTTCAGATCCGCACAACTCTACCAATAAGTGGCAAGTTTCTAATTTTACTGACCTTTCAAACTTCTAATCTGCAAGAGTTCTGTTCTCTGTTCTTCTTTTGTCGCACTTATAACACTACTATGACGTTCTAACTATATTTACAAGGATGCTGAGTGTACTAGCTAACTTGTACGGAACTCAAAAATTTCTGAGGACTTGAAAAAAAAGAAATCTAGGAATAATTGATGTAGCAGCAGCAGACATCAATGACGTTACCGGAATCACCATGGTGATCATTTAGACGACACTTTGTGGCGATGTTTTGAATCGAAAAATGAGAGACACATAACGGTAACTTCAATGGCATAATGATGTGCAAAATCCTGAGCTTTGGGAAGAGTTGAAGTCGCATCTCATCTTTCTTGAGGCGCATGCTACCACTACGTCGTTAAAGTTACCGTTATGCTGTCCCTCTTTTTTCGATTCAAAATTCATTCATTCGATTCGCAGCAAAGTGTCGTCTAAGTGCTCATTATGGTGATTCCGGTAACGTCGTTGGTGTCTACTGCTGGTGCATTTATTTCTAGATTTCTTTTTTTCCAAGTCCTTGGAAATTTTTGAGTTGTGTACAAGTGAGCCCTTTAGAACCATGAGAGTCATTTTGTTGTTCACCGCGCGGCGTCAAATCTCACTCAGCCACTGTGATGGCGGCGTCGCGTTTCGTGCGAAAGCGGGCAGGCAGGCAGACACACATGCACACACATGCAGAGCCGCTCGTCTAAGCTGCTCTGATTGCCGCGCAAGTGACGGCGCGACGCGCCTGCATTTCAACGTTGGTTCTCAAGGGTTTAAGGAATTTTTTTAACAAAGCTTTTGTTTGTATCAGCAACGGAAAGAACTCCTCTGCATAAATCTGTTAAAGCATCAGCTTCGTGAATACTGAGGTTATTGAGAAAACATCACCGTCACGAATGTTTTAAATAAACAAACTTTATATACAAACACTTCATGCTGTTAAGAGTTAGTAGGATCAATCATCCAGTGAATAGCATTTTAACACTTCTCTGGAACTCGATGGAGAGGCGGAATGAAAAAGACAGAGGAGCTGCAAATCGAGTTGGAAATTGTTGTTCGATTATGGCTGAAGAGTTTTACAGTTGTCTTTTTGCTTTTTGCTTTTGGAGGCCACCAATCGAAATTTCCTTATGTCACTATCTGAGAAGCTCCATAAAAAGCAACTTTCTTTTGTCGAATTTTATTATATCACCAAACTTAACGTATCGTACAGGTGATATTCGTTCTTGATCCTATTCGTTGTCTGTCGCTACGAAAATCTTGCGATCTCCGTGTGTTTTTGCTAACATTTTATGACTATATCTTCTAAATGTCATTGAATGTGGACTGACTTAGAAATTTCATAGGATAGACACACTGAAACGTTTCCGGCTCTTAAATACATATAGTTATTGGCCTTTGTGAATGCGGAGTTTTTTTGCACATGTGCGGTACCGGTTTGTAGTGGTATGGATGGCTTGATTAACTGAAAGTGTGGCCAAACCAGTGGATATGTTGCGTGTATTGCACGGACGTCTAGAAGCGCTGAATTTCATTTTCATTCTCTCCTTCTGCATGTGTCTTCATTACCTCGCAAGCGAATCTGGTTGATGCTAACATGAAAATTGCTTTACGTATCTATTCATGTGTATATGAACACTCAGCCTGAATGCTTTTGCGATCGCATGAAGAATCGTCACGACCAGAATTTTACGACATGATAAAGAAAAGGAAATCCTCTAGCAGCAGCCGAAACCTTTGAAGACTTATGTGAGGACGAATGCGAGGAAACTAATAAAATGCATAGAGCACATGATGACAAGTCGTGTAAAAAAATTCATGTATTTATACGTGTATACCTATGATATGTATAGGTACATATATGCATGTGTACATATATATACATACATGGAAATGGAATCGTCTATCCCAAATTGTCTTTTTTCTTCTCACGAACGCTAATCGAATTTCTCGTGCAAAAGATCTTTTGAACGTTTCTCTGACAACAGTGCTATATCAGCGCTCTTAAATTTTGCCGATATTGAAGTGACTACTCGTCGTTGTTCTCGTATTATCTTGTTTGTTCGCGCTTTATGCTCAGAAGTATAACAATTGGAATAGTGTGTCTCTTTGAACCTTCTTTACTCAAGCGAGTAATCACTCTCGAATGGTATAAAGTTAATTCGCATTTGCTGGCCGTCGACCATTTAGGCAGTTGCTTTGCTACCGAATTTCTTTAATCATCTACTGAAGAGTACCGTCGATGACTGCGACATGGATTTGGCTCACTATGACATAATCCCTTTGAAGAAGCCATAAGATCGCAAGAACCAGTTCGAATTGCGCTACATCTCGGTTTTTGTTCGTAACTGCAACATTTGCCAATCAATTTCGTTACAAAACAGACAGCATAAAATGTCCGAAGTAATTTAGATGATTTATGTCATTTTACTCAGCACGAATGGACATCTCTTTTGTTCTTCATATAAAATCTTTTAGTGGAGATCCGGTTACGGATTATGCTGCTTTCAGTTCTTAATACAAGGCTAACACTCGACCTGTCTGATGTGCCCAATATCAGATATCCTTACTAAATCATTTTATCGTTTAGGCTTTCACTCACGTAGTTCCTTTCTCTTCTTACTGTTTCATTGAAATCATAGATTAATCGCTATAATTCTTTCTAGTACTTTTACCAATGAATATGTGAACACGAATTCCAAAACATTATAGCCAGATATTTTGAAAGTTTTGTTTCCCCTACGTTAGAGAAATCTTGTACGTCCATGTTTACATAATCATGCGCATACCCTTTTTTTTTTAGAACCTATCGCCCCCACTTGGCGGGGGTTTTTCCAAATATAGAGCAGCAATGTCCCGTTGGCAAATTACCTAAGCACTGTCTTTTCCATCTAAAAATCAAGTTAAAGACAGACTCGTGTGAAAATATGCAGCCGATTTTACGAAACTTTATGGATCACATAGGCCAGGTTCCACTTTACATGATAACGTCAACGACCGCTATCGATGATGAAGATATGGCTAGATCAGCAAAGAGAACCAGCCTGTGCAATTCTGCAAAACGAATCATTTAGTCTTCTGGTGACCATGAACGTTAATGTCAATACATTTTCTCTTCGAATATTACTTTTGTCGCACGAAGCTTTTCTTCCGTACTTCGAACTTTAAGTCGTTAACTTCCGCGCTATGCATTTTGTGCCAGCGGTAGGAAAACAAAGCTATCCTCAGAGCGTAGTACTAGAAGGTAACGGGTTTTTGACGACTTCGCTTGTATGATCTAAATTAAGCGGCGAGTTTTAAGTTAGATACTGTAGTGGCACTACTATCGTCAATCCTTGCCTTATATCTTTATCTGTCAGCCTTCTATCTTCAAACTTGGGAACTCTTTATCGCAATGGGTATGTGATAATTTATTGCAAAGGGTCATAATGTAAATAAAAAGGAATTAAAAAACAATTACGTGTAACGGATAAAAGTTTAGGCTCTCTACATTGATCAACCTACAGAAGATGCGCCATGCATTCGACTTCATTAAGCATCACTAGAGGTAACAGTTTGCATATCTGGCTATTACAATGATTTTCGGTGGCTATCAA